TAAATGAATAACATAGACTTGACGCGCTTGCGCGTCAGAATGTCCGATGCGGTGCGAAATTGACGCGCATGCGCGTCAGCTTGTCGTCAACGTGTTAAAAATTGCTTATTATTGTTCCATCAAATTGATTGGATCTATTGGCATTATCATCCTCTGTTCCGGTACGCCTTTTCTTCATCCCTCAAATCTGAACACTGTCAAAACACTTTCGATAAAAAACTGACCATTTACCCTTGCACAAACATTTCAATATGAGCAGTAGCAAAATCAAACAAGAATCAAATATTAAAAATCACATGGATATACACTAGGGTTATGACTATGGAATAGGTATCAAAAAAAGGTTTCTACATTGTCCTAATCAACGAAATCACTAGAATACAAATAAAGTTGCAAAAATCTCTACAACTGAGTACCTAAAAATGCTTTTGAGAATGAAAGCTCATTGTCAACGGGACAAGCAATAGCGACATTCTGCGTTGTGTTAAAGCATATCTGAGTTGCAGGTCTCGTGGAGAAACTGTGTACAGTAAGTCCACGACAATTGTAAATCGTAAATCTCATCAACCACTTCAGATATACCCCATCTCGCAAAAAGAGTACTATAACCCAGCGATTTGACGACGCTTTCTTTTTAACCCTGTAGGAAGGTCGCGATTTTGCGCACGGGTCCGGCGTGATTCAATATCGAATCACGCCGACCCTCCGCTGCTAAAGAGTGTGATTTGGTATCGCACAAAGCTGTCGTCAATGCGTAGACCAGTTTCCCCACAAGACCTGCAGCTGGCAAAGTTAACATAATGGCATGACTGGGCTAAATGCAGTATACTCGTCAAGGAGACATCTTATGAAGAGGATTCGAGTAAAGTATGCATGAACCGTGTGTACTCTGCGTTTGGTACGTTCAATCTACCTAGCAACTACCTAAAGGGCAACCCACTTCACACATCGAAAAAGATGGGCGTGGTGTTAGAGCACAAAGAAAAAGAGCTATTCGAGGAGACATCCACCCTGCTTTTCCTCATGGACACACTTCAATGCCTAGCTACACCGTCCTGGTATCTATTTGTCGAGTAGTCCGAGATTTCGTGCTTCCCTCTCCACCCACTGTTGCAGCTCGCGTTCGTCTTCAATCGGCGAGTCCTCTTGACCACATACAGCATCGATGTAGAACGAACCTGAAACTCAATCTCTAATGGTTTTTGAATTCTAAGGGCATGTTGCACGACTGAGACAAACAAGCTAAGACCTTCGCTAGTAAGATAGAGCAGCTCAGAGGCAGAAAATGTGTGCGACAGGAAACTTAGAGTCTAGCCCCTTGCGCTAAAAATGGGTTGCAGCTGTTGCTCGCAGCGTAAAGGATTACGTAGCGAGGTGTCTTATTCACTTGTCCGCTCTCTCCCTAGCACCCAGCGTTTCCTCAACATAGCACTAGCAATTCTACAAAAAAGTGATCCTTGATTTCATAGTTGTTGGCGGTTCCCTATACACTTTTTTCAGGCGGTTTATTCATGCGCCCGCCTTCACTTTAGGCAAAGCTACCAATTTTCGGTAATGAGGAATGTGCCTTGGATTTAAAAATCCCTTAGATAGATTGTCACGCTTACGTTGCGTTGTGAGATTCTCGAAATCGTCGTCCGATAGATCGTCATCTGATAAGGTGCCTGAAAGTCACATGATTGAGAGTATTAAGAAGTCGACATTGTTCTTGACATCACAAACAAGAGTAGAGAAAATGAAATCAGATGAAAGTAAATTGTGTGAAAAAATCAGCGTCAAAACAAGTGAAAAAAACGTTCAAAACTTTTCAAAAATAAATAATCTGCAGAATTCTCCAAGATCGCCTTTCTTGAAACCGTGGCATTTTTAGATAGCAGTTGAATTCTTCTGTGCCGAACAGGTTTTTACATAAGCTTTTATTAAGCTGACGTTTCGACTAATTCTATTTGAAAAAGCTTCGATATGCTTCCTTCAGGCCTTTGAAGACGACGAATTAGTCGAAACGTCGGCTTAATAAAAGCTTATGTAAAAAACCTGTACGGCACAGAAGATTTCAACTGCTAAATAATCTGTATTCTGTTCAGAGCATACGTACTGCACTTCAATAACAATTTATCAGAACATAATTTTGACGTCCAACCCAAATATCAGCAATAACATACCTATCCTAAATCCAGCACTAGGTTGCCGCTGTGACATCGAAAGTATGGACGTGTAATCGCTCAGGTCAACCACCACACGACTTCCACGCACCGACAGACGTGAGGAATCGGCCGCTGTTCCGCCGATGACGATCGTCACCGAACCATTCTGTAAAGAAACAGATTCAATATGCACTAATTGGTGCGCACAATGAAATAGGTGTTTCAAAATGATAATTTGGAAAAGATGTTCAAAAATGAAAAAAATAAAAAATAGAAAAGAATCCAGAAAGTTCGCAAAAACCACTCTATTTCAAACTATTGGGCTCAATCTCTGACGATGAACTGTACTAGCTGTACCTCAGGCTCGTTCAGGCGTCCGCAATTCGCTAGCGTCTGCGGTCGCGTCGCGGCCAGTGAATCACTCAATTGGCTGGTACCGCAACGCGACCGCGGACGCTAGCGAATCGCGCGATTCGCAAAGTCTGACATCGGCCTTAATCTGAATTCCACATTGACGTAAAGGCACATTCCACGAAAAGGCGAGAACGACATTACCTTCGTAGACAGATCAATCCTACCCATCGAAGGGATTATCCACCCGAATCTAATGTGAGGTCTCCAGCTAATATTACTACTCAGCTCCCAGGTTAGCTACTATTACGACAGATGCTGACATGCAACAAGGCGCATCATCAACAAAAGTACCAAAGTGCTAGTAATGAATTAAGCACCCAGAGGGTTTGATCCGGTGCCATATCAATCTTAATCGTAAATGACATCCTTCACAGCTGGTCGTATGCAAACAGAAATCAGATGGAAATCCTGCAAGCTAGGGATCCACAGCTTTAGTGTGTTTTTGAAACATACCTGTCTTGTCCTTGTGGGAACGCCTTGATGAATTCTTGTATCGAATCATTGGTAATCTGAAACAAATATTACCAGTTGGATACTAGAGAAGTTTTGTGATAGCACCACCACTTTTTGCTGGACAGGAGGGAACTCAATCACAATCCTTTTTATTTCTACATTGTACGTCAAGTACTTGGCCAAAAGCATCAAGGCAGTTGCGACAACTAAGCCAGATGAACGTAAAATCCAGCTCACTTCCCAAGAGGATCGGGGGTTGACTCGCTTTGGGCAGCACTAAGAACAGCACGACCCCCCTAGCCATTCTTTAGAAAGTAAAATCTGGTTTCAAAGAAATTGCAAGCACCAACCACAACCTCATTTTTTGGCGCCTATCCCATTCAGTGGCGGGGCCGCTTTTCTGATACATTAACGCCTTTTTTCCCGACTGAATGCCCTATCGGGGTGGATGCTAGGCTTAAAGGCAAACCCCGGAATAAAACTGGTGTATAAAAGCGCACTATAGTGATGGATGAACTGCGAATGGAATAAAAGTGGAAAAGAAAGCAAGAGAAGCCATCGGAAACGCTAAAATTAAGGCCCTGAC